GTCCCAGGCTGCCCCAGACTGCCCCAGACTGCCCCAGACTGCCCCAGACTGCCCCAGAGTGCCCCAACTGCCCCACACTGCCCCAACTGCCCCAGACTGCCTCAGACTGCCCCAGACTGCCCCAGACTGCCCCAGACTGCCCCAGACTGTCCCAGACTGCCCCAGACTGTCCCAGACTGCCCCAGACTGCCCCAGACTGCCCCAGACTGTCCCAGACTGCCCCAGACTGTCCCAAACTGCCCCAGACTGCCAAGGGGGCCGGGGGCGGGCGGAGCAACTGAGACGGGTGGGCGGAGCAACTGGGCCAAGCAACTGACCCAACTGACCCAACTGACCCAGACTGCCCCAGACTGCCCCAGACTGCCCCAGACCCCAGGCTGCCCCAGAGTGCCCCAACTGGCCCAGACTGCACCAAACTTCCCAGACTGCCTCCTCAGACTGCCCCAGACTGCCCCAGACTGCCCCAGACAGGCCCCTGCCCCAGACTGCCCCAGACTGCCCCAGACTGCCAAGGGGGCCGGGGGGCGGGCGGAGCAACGGAGACGGGTGGGCGGAGCAACCGGGCCAGCAACTGACCCAACTGACCCAACTGACCCAGCTGACCCAGACTGCCCCAGACTGCCCCAGACTGCCCCACACTGCCGCAGACTGCCCCAGGCTGCCCAAGAGTGCCCCAACTGGCCCAGACTGCCCCAGACTGCCCCAGACTGCCTCAGACTGCCCCAGACTGCCCCAGACTGCCCCAGACAGGCCCCAGACTGCCCCAGACTGCCCCAGACCGCCCCAGACTGCCAAGGGGGCCGGGGGGCGGGCGGAGCAACTGAGACGGGTGGGCGGAGCAACTGGGCCAACTGACCCAACTGACCCAACTGACCCAGACTGCCCCAGACTGCCCCAGACACTGCCCCAGACTGCCCCAGGCTGCCCCAGAGTGCCCCAACTGGCCCAGACTGCCCCAGACTGCCCCAGACTGCCTCAGACTGCCCCAGACTGCCCCAGACTGCCCCAGACAGGCCCCAGACTGCCCCAGACTGCCCCAGACTGCCCCAGACTGCCAAGGGGGCCGGGGGGCGGGCGGAGCAACTGAAACGGGTGGGCGGAGCAACTGGGCCAGCAACTGACCCAACTGACCCAACTGACCCAACTGACCCAACTGACCCAGACTGACCCAGACTGCCCCAGGCTGCCCCATGCGCCAAGAGGGCTTCCGCGAAGGGCCCGAGAGAGGCCCTCCTGGACCCTTGCAGGGAGCAACGCTCCGGTCCCAGCTGCACCCGGGGCCGCGCGTGCCGCGGGGGGCCTCGACTGAGGGCGGGGGGCTCCCAGAGCCTTCCGACGGGCCCAAAGGCGGCCCCAAGACAGGCCCAAGACGTTCGGAGCCTGCCCAGGGCGTCCGGAGGGGCCCAAAGGCGCCCCAAGACAGGCCCAAGAGGGCACCAGGGCAGCTTATAAAAACAGATTGTTTTATAACGTATTCCTGGGCCCTCTTGGGGGCCTCTCGGAGCCTCCTTGGGGGCCTCTGGGAGCTCTCTAGGGGCCCTCTTGGACCCTTCCCAGAGGGTTCGGGGGGGGCTCAAAGGCGCCCCAAAACGGGCCCAACAGGGCACCAGGCCAGCTTATAAACACACCTTGTTTTATAACGTACTCATGGGCCCTCTTCGGGGCCTCTTGGAGCCCCCCTGGGGGCCTCTGGGAGCCCTCTAGGGGCCCTATTGGACTCTTCCCAGGGCCCTCGGAGGGGCCCACAGGCGCCCCAACACGGGCCCAAGTGAGCCCAAGGACAGTTTATAAACAATAGCTTGTTTTATAACGTACTCCTGGGCCCTCTTCGGGTCCTCTTGGAGCCCCCTCTGGGGGCCTCTGGGGGCCCTCTAGGGGCCCTCTTGGACCCTTCCCAGGGCCCTCGGAGGGGCCCAGAGGCGCCCCAAGACGGGCCCAAGAGGGCCCCAGGACAGCTTATAAAAACAGCTTGTTTTATAACGTACTCCTGAGCCCTCTTGGGGGCCTCTTGGAGCCCCCTTGGGGGCCTCTGGGAGCCCTCTAGGGGCCCTCTTGGACCCTTCCCAGAGACCTCGGAGGGGCCCAAAGACGGGTCCCCAGATCCCTCCCGGGGTCCAAACGCACCAGTTGTCCGTCGCCGTCACCGCCGCCGTCGTCGTCGTCGTCGTCGTCGTCGTCGTCGTCGTTGTCGTCGACGCCGTCGCCGTCGTCGTCGTCGTCGTCGTCGTGGTCGTCGTCGTCGTCGTCGTGGTCGTCGTCGTGGTCGTCGTAGTGGTCGTCGTCGTCGTGTTTTTTTTCAGGCCGTAAGGATGCTTACGGCCGGGAAAAACGCGCTCATCATTATCTCCCTCGTAGTCGCCGTCGTCGTCTTGATCGTCGTCGTCGTCGTCGTCTTGATCGTCGTCGTCGTCGTCGTCGCCACTGCCGCCGCCGCCGCCGTCGCCTCCCCAGCGACACGGACCGCGGCGGGCCGCCGCCGCCGCCGTCGCCTCCCCAGCGACACGCCGTCGGCTCTCCGGCGGCCGTTCGTGGCGATTCCAGCACCCCCAGAACGGAATTTTTCGCCTCAGTCCCGGAGCCCGAAAACGGCCTCCCGAGGCCGGGTCCGCCCGCCCGACCCGACCCGTCCCGCCCGTTAGGGCACTCGCGTGCCAACTCGGTGATGCACCATACTTTAATGTCCCGCCCGACCCGACCCGACCTGCCCGTCAGGGTACTCGCGTGCCAACTCGATGATGCACCATACTTTAATGTCCCGCCCGGCCCGACCCGACCCGCCCGTTAGGGTCCGCCCGCCCGACCCGACCCGACCCGCCCGTTAGGGCACTCGCGTGCCAACTCGGTGACGCACCATACTTTAATGTCCCGCCCGACCCGACCCGACCCGCCCGTTAGGGTCCGCCCGCCCGACCCGACCCGACCCGCCCGTTAGGGTACTCGCGTGCCAACTCGATGATGCATCATACTTTAATGTCCCGCCCGGCCCGACCCGACCCGCCCGTTAGGGGACCTCTTGGACCCTTCCCATATCCTTCCGAGAAGCCCAGAGGCGCCCCAAGACGGGCCTAAGAGGGCCCCAGGACAACTTATAAAAATAGCTTGTTTTGTAAGGTACTCCGGGGCCTTCTTGGGGGCTTCTTGGAGCCTTCTTGGGGGCCTCCTGCAGCCCTGTAGGGGCCCTCTTGGACCCTTCCCAGAGCGTTCGGAGGGGCCCAAAGGCGCCCCAAGACGGGCCCAAGTGAGCCCCAGGACAACTTATAAAAACAGCCTGTTTTATAAAGTACTCCTGGACCCTTTCGGGGGCCTCTTGGAGCCCTCTTGGGAGCCTCTGGGAGCCCTAGGGGCCCTCTTGGACTCTTCCCAGGGCGTTCGGGGGGGCTCAAAGGCGCCCCAAGACGGGCCCAAGAGGGCACCAGGCCAGCTTATAAAAACAGCTTGTGTTATAATGTACTCCTGGGCCCTCTTCGGGGCCTCTTGGAGCCCCCTTGGGGGCCTCTGGGAGCCCTCCAGGGGCCCTCTAGCACCCTTCCCAGGGCCCTCGGAGGGGCCCAGAGGCACCCCAAGACGGGCCCAAGAGGCGCCCCGCGAGGTGCCAGAGGGTACTGTTTCGCCCAAGATGGCGCAAGATTCCTCAAGATGGCCCCGAAGACGCTCCAACAGGGCCCAAGACCGCCCCGAGACGGCTCCAGGAGTCCAAAAAGCTTCCCAAGGAGGCTCAAGAAGCCAACAACTTTCAAACACCCATAGAAAATCAATGTTATTTGCGTTCTCGCCCGCTCGCTTCCGACAGCCCTCCTCCACCTCCTCCTCCTCCTCCTCCTCCTCCTCCTCCTCCTCCTCCTCCTCCTCCTCCTCCTCCTCTCCCGTTCCGCTCCTGCGCCTCCTCCCCCTCCTCCACGCCCTTCGCCGCTTGGGTTCTGTTGCGGCAACTGCAACCACCCCAGGTGCAACTGATACTGCCCCAGAGGCGCAGGGGGGACGGGGGGCGGGCGGAGCAACTGAGATGGGCGGGCGGAGCAACTGGGCCAACAACTGGCTCAGTTGCTCCGCCGCTCCTCCGCTTGGTGTCAGTTGCTCCGCCGCTTGGTTTCAGTTGCTCCGCGGCCTCGGTCCAGTTGCTCCGCCGAGGTAAGCCCCTTCTCCTCCTCCCACTACTCCTCTTCCTCAACATCACCGCCATCACCAATTTCTTGCGCACGCGCAAGGCATGCAAAACTCGCAATGTGTGTACTCCTCCTCCTCCTCCTCCTTCTCCTCCTCCTTCCGTCAGGCGGAAGAGGATCAGGACGACGACGTCGCCGACGACGATGACGAGGTCGACGACGACGCCGATGAGGGGAGAAGGAGGAAGCGGGGGAGGAGGAGAACGACGATGACGACGGCGGCGGCGGCGGCGACGACGAGAGGAGGGAGGGAGCAGGAATGGTACTGCCAACCGCACGGGCTATGGATGATGATCGTTGGGCCTGGGGCGGATGTGCCATCAGCCGTAATCCCATTGGCCCTGCCCTCATATATTCCACGCCCCGCCTCGGCAACGAGCTCTGCTCTTCGCCGCGTGCGCTGGCACGTCCCCAGACACCCGGCCTGATGAATTTTGCCTGGAGACGTTGCGCCGCAAAGCGAGCCAAGCGACCGGCGGTGAGGGTTCGAACTCGCCGGAGCAGACGATGTACATCTCCCTGGTGCGGCGCTGCTCTGCCGAGACCCGCGCGGCACTGGCGCGCGTTGCCGCACAGTCGACATGAAGTGAAGTGAAGGAAGTGGGGGGAGGGGGGAGGAGAGAAGGGAGAGGAGGGTGCAGGACAAGGGTTAGGTCGGGCATGGTCCCCTACAGGCGGATTTTCAGAGAAAGTTGGAACAATGCCAAAACAAAATTCAAAAACTGATGACAAATAGTAGAACAACGTCCCCAGACTACCTTTTAACAATTTTTGAATATTCTCCCTGTGGAGGGACACGTCCGACTTACGACAAGGGAAGAGGAAATGCGAGGCAGCCTGCTTGCCCGCCGCGCCGCCAGGGCCGCGAGCGAGACCACGGCTGCGCGCCCGTCCAGCCGAGGCCACGCCCGCGCCGCCGCCGAGCCGGCTGCCGGCGCCAGCGCGGCCATGGAGGAGGCGCCAGCCCGGCGGCCCCACGGCCTTCGGGGAGGCGCACCCTGGCACCCTGCTACCAAGACGCTGGAACACACGCACACAGACACACAGACACACAGACACACAGACACGCAGATACGCACGGACAACACGCGCGCGGCCACGAGGCGCGTATGACAAGCCCACAGGAGGGCGAAGGACACGCGAGGGCCAGGCCAGCTCACGCAGCGTGCGAAAAACTGCGTCCTCCTGTGTGGGGGGTCAGACAGCCACATTTGCGAGGGGGCAGTCGCGAGGGGAACGACGGGGGAAAGGCACGGGAGCAGTTCGACAGTGACGGGCCAGATCCAGGAAGCGTGGCACAGCGGTGCCGGGCGCAACGGCGAGCAACCAGGAGGATAACTAACGCATCGTGACGGTGATCGGAAGAACAAACACTCTCACACACACACACTCACACATTCAAGCACATATATGCACACACACACACGCACACACACACACACGCACACATATGCACACACAAAGTCTCGTATACAGACACAGACACAGACACCGACACACACAGGCACAGACATAGACACAGACACAGACTCAGACACAAACACAGACACAGACAAAGACACAGACACAGACACAACAAACACACAAACACACACACACACAAGCGCGCGCGCGCGCGGGCAGACACACATACACACATACACACATACACACACGCACACACATACACACACACACACACACACGCACACTTTTCGAACGTCAGCGGGCGGGCGCAGCGCCACGCCGTCAGACACGCTCGCGGGGGCCGCGCGCGCGCCAGTCAGCTGGCCCCGCACGGGGCAGCGGAAGCAGCAGCCGGGCTGGAAGCAGCCGAGGCAGCGGGCAGAGCGGGCATCGGGCCAGGGCCAGGGCCAGGGCGGGGGCGCTGGGCGCAGAACGCGCGAGCGGGCAGCGGGCGGAGGGGGCGGTCGGGGGGCGTCCGCAAGCGGGCGGGCGGAAGCGCCAGCGGGGCAAGGAACACGCCAGAGCCGGGCGGGCGGTTTTGGCGGCCGAGCCGCACCAAACAGGGCGGAGCCGGGGGAGCGCACCACGGCGGGAAGCACCGGGCGGGGAGAACACGCGCCGAGGGTGCGCCCTGCAAATCCAGAGCAACCCGACCAGCACAGAGGGTCCGCCAGATGGTCCACCCTGGTGGTCGAGCAGCGGGGGGCGGGGAGCCGAGCCGATGACCTCGAGGGCGAGGCACCGGCGCGGCGAGGAGAAAAGAAGCAGGCCGCGAGCGGCATGGGCCGCCGGAGCAGGGAGCGGGCGCGGCACGACCACCGCTGGGACAGCCCGGGAGGGGGGGTGGGGGCGGCGACCCAGGCGGGGAGAGCTGTCGGAGCAAGCGGAAGGAGGCGCGAGGGGCACCAAGGCAGGCGGGGGCAAGAGACCGGGGAAGGTCACCCTGCCCGACGCGGGGCAGATGCCAACGTCAGGGCCCGGCGCGGCCTCAGCGCCCGTGCCCGTGCTCACGGAGAGCAGGGCGCACTCGAGCGCGCGAGGGGCAGAAAGGGCCCGCGACACGAGGGTGCTGGCGGATTGGAGGTCGAGGGCAGCCCAAAGCGGTCATCACAAAGGGCCCACCCTGGTGATCATGCACGCACGCGCACTTCTTGGCGGTCGCGGCTTCGCGCGTAGCGTCGAAGCGGAAAAACTCACCGAACGGGCACACACGCACACACACACACACACACACACACACACACGCACACACACACACACACACGCACACACACACACACACGCACACACACACACGCACACACACGCACACACGCACACACGCACACACACACGGTTACACGCACACAAACACACACACACACACACACACACACACACACACACACGTACACACAAACACACACACACACACAAACACACAAACGCACTCACACTTACACACACACACACACTCTCACACGCACACGCAAACATACGCAACACACAACACACACGCACACATTCACGCACGCACGCACGCACGCACCCCCCCCCCACCCATACACAAACACACACACAAACACACACACACACAAACAAACACATGTTTTTGGGTGTCGCGGCCACGCGCACGGCGGCGCGGCGTAGGTCACGTCAAGGCAGGCGGGAGCGCGCGGGCTGGCCCAGATGACGAATCGTGGAGAGCACACAGAACACAACACAACACAACACAGCACAACACAGCACAACACAACACACCACAGCACAACACAGCACAACGCAACACAACACAACACAACTCAACACAACACAACAAACACACACACAACCACATATCCACGTCGCTGGGTTCGGGTATGGGACATCCGGAGGCCACGCGCTGGAGACAGATGCTAAAGCCAGGCCCAGGCAGCCAAGTAAAGGCCAAGCAAAGCCCAAGCGGTGGAAAGATACGGGGCCACGTGTGTACCCAACTCTCGCCCCAGCCAGCTGCGTATCCACATTCCTGGCTCACCAACGACACCTGGGGTCCTCCCAAGACCTCCAAACGCCGCGAGTGGCCAGGGTCCAGGGCGGCAGGCAGATCTACCAAAGCACCCGGTCTGCCCTCCTCCTTCTCCTCCTCCTCCTCCTTCTCCTCCTCCTCCTCCCCTTCCAACTCCCATCCCGGCTCCTACTGGAACTCCAACTCCTCCTGCTCCTCCACTTCCTTACCCCCCAGCTCCTGTTTTGTCGCGGGGAGCGCGGCGCTCCCGGCACGGTGCGGGCAGACATGATGCTCAACATTCCCAAGAATTGCTGGGGGTCCGACCGTGTGTGTTTTTTCCCTCCGACCGTGTTTTTTGTTTTTTTTGTTTTGTGTGTGTGTGTGTTTTGTTGTGTGTGTGCTTTTCCCACGTGTGTTTTTTGGCCTACAGTGTTTGTTGTTTTTTCCCCACGGGCAATTGCCCTGCGCGTGCCCTGTCCCAAAAAGGAGTCTTAACATCGGGGGCCAAGTTTTTGCAAACGCGCCTGGAAGCCAGCGCCGGCCGTTTTTTGGAGTGGCGGCGCAATGCACGGCCCTGCGGCCTCCGTCCTCCCATGCACGCGCACAAAAACGGGCACAAGCACACGCGCACAGGCACACGTGCGCGCAAGACTGGGCGAGACGAGAAGAGAGCAATCGGAAGGGGGGAGGAAGAGCAGGAGCGCCACCGCTTGCGGCAGGAGAAGGAGAGGTCAATCGGTCAACGGCCTCCATGATGCGGGCCAGGCGGCAGGAGTTGGCGCGCAGCCTGGTATGCACCAGCTCCCAGGCATGCGCCTGCGACCTTCTCCCGCTGCTGCGGGCAGAGTGAAGGACTGGGAAGACTGCGTCGACAGCCACTCCGTGGCTCCACGAAGAGCCATCATAATCACACTTCCAGAAGCAAGGCATCATGATGCTCAGCGGATCCTGGTCCCAACGCTCTGGAAGAGGGAGGAGAAACGTAAGTACTGGAGCAACAACCTGTTTGTTGTTAGAGCCACACTTGTTGTCTAGATGCTTACACACTTGTTGTTAGAGCCACGCTTCTTGTTAGGCGCCGAAAAGAGCCACACTTTGTTGTCTAGATGCTTGCACTGGGAACTGCACGGAGGATAGCGCCAGGGGGAGTGCGCAGGAAAAAAAGGAATATACTGGAACAACAATTAGGCAACATACGTAGTAGGAAAGCTCGCCGGCACGACTACTCATTAAGCCGAAGGTGCAGCATCTGGTGGTTTTGCGAAATCTCCTAGAAGCGGTTCAAGAATTGAGCGACGCCTTAAACGCAGCAGTGGCAAAGAAAACCGGGAGGTCGAGAGAGAGAGAGAGAGAGAGAAAGAGGGAGAGCATATTCACACGAACCGAGTAGATCGAGTTAAAGATGGGCAATACCATGAAACCGATACTGCGCACGCGCACGGGCAAGACAGGGTGTAGTGGCATGCTCATCCTGGGTTGTGAGTACATAATAGCCAGCGAACGTTGAACTTGTGAAGGGTAAGCATGCGAGGGAATTGGGGCAACCCCGCGGGTCGCTGGCTCCTCCGCAATGGAGGGCTTGTTTCCCACCGCCTCCACCAGAAGTAGGAGGGGGAGGAGGTCCTCCTCCTCCTCCTCCTCCTCCTCCTCCTCCTCCTCCTCTTCGTCCTCCTCCTCCTCCTCCACCTCCTTCCCCCCGAACGCATGGTGGTGGTGGTGATGGTGGTGGTGGAAAACGGGCCCATTAAATGGTGTCCTGCTGCGCGAGGCCGCGCCGCCGAGGCGCGGGGCATTGCCTGACGTCGAAAGAATCGCGATGGGCCTCCCTTGCGCGGACGGCCGCGGCGGCGCCTTCTCTCCTGGCGCAAAAACTCGCGGCCTGGGGCGCCCCGCAGCGCAAGATCGCACCAGGGCCTGGAGTCCCAGGCGTCGATGTCCAGGAAGACCCCCTGGTCTTGGGGACGCCACGACACCGGACACCCGAACCGTCCGATCATGGAAGTCCAAGTGCGCGCACAGCTGTTTTTCAAAGATGTCCCCAACATGTGCAAGCCATGTGTTTTATACATGCTGAAGACACGCTCTAAACCTGCCGCGCCATCTGGAAATTATAATTACTTGGCAACATGCTTCCTCTCCTGTGGTCGTCGTCCACAACCGTGGCTCTCAGTCAGCTCCGCGTTCGCCTGCTTCTCCTCGCGGGGAGCGCGTCCAGCTCGCGGCCCCCGTCGAGAAGCGCGCCTGGCCCCGCTCGAGGACACCTTCACGGCGGCGGGGCCGCGCGCCCGCCGACGCGCCCGAGACGCCGCGGCGACGCCTCCACGGAGCGCTGGCAGGTGCTGCCCACGGCCATGGCGCACGCCCACATCCGCTTGCCCGGGCGCTCTCGGCAAGCGAAGCGTCGGGAGCGGCCAAGAGGGGGGTGTCCAAGAGGGGGGGGTGCAGATCATGACCGGCGGCACGTGCGCGGCCCAGCGGGGGGGCCAGGGACGTGATGAAATAAGAAGAGGCGCCATAAACTCTGGAGAAATATCATGGCCCCCGCCATGATATCCCCCCCCCCCTAGTCATCACCTCCCTCTCTTCCGCCCCCGAAAGCGACGGGACGGCCTCGAAGCGCGCGTCCGGTCCGGCGCGTGGCGAGGGCGCACGGCCTCGCCTGGGTGCGCGGATGGAGCGATCCCCGACCTCGCGCCTCGACCTCGCGCCTCGACCTCGCCGCAAGGAGGAGCAGAAGAAGGCGAGGAAAGGGATGAGGAGGAGGAGGAGCAGGAGGAGGAGGAGGAAGAGGAAAAGAAGGCGAGGGGGGGAGGAGGAGGAGGAGGAGGAGGAGGAGGAGGAGGAGGAGGAGGAGGAGGAGGAGGAGGAGAAGGAGGAGAAGTAGGAGTAGGAGTAGGAAGAGGAGGAGGAGGAGGAGGAGGAGGAGGAGGAGGAGGAGAAGGAGGAGGAGGAGGGGCGCACCAAATCCCAGGAGTAGCGCCTCGCTGGGCGGAGCGCCTCGCGGCGGCGGCAGCAGCACGCACTCGGAGCGGGCGCCGAGGACGCGGACGAAGAAGTGCCGTGTGGTGAGCTCGAAATACACTTAGGTCGGGCATGTCGTCCAGGCAGCTTTTGGCAGAAAACTTGAAACGATGCATCACATGTTCAGACATGGAGAAACGAATCGAACCATCGTCCCCCGACTAGTTTCTATGTTTGAACATTCCTCCTGTAGAGGGCATGTCGTACAGGCCGATTTCCGAAGAAACGTTGAAACGATACATAATATGTTCAGACATGGAAAAAAGGATCGAACCATCGTCCCCCGAGTAGTTTCGATGTTTGAGTCTTCCTCCCGTAGAGGGACGTGCCCGACTTAAAAATACACGGTCTGGCCGACCGGTTCCAGGGCGACGCGCCGCATCATGTCTCGGTAGTCAAAGATGACGTCGCTGCGCAGGCCTGAAATGCTCCCGTCGTCGAGCGGGATCTCCTGCCCCTCCACCCTGATGAACAGGGGCTGCTTCGGGTCGGCTAAGTTAGGAGCGGCGAAGAACAAAGCGCACCTCATGAGCGCCATGCAGGCGACGCCATCGTAGCGGCAGGGGCGCCAATGTCCGTCGGTGCCATATGCTTGATGTTCAGGGCGTTCTCGGATTCGGACACGAAGTGCGGGCCCCATTGAGAGGGGGCTCCCGATCGAGACTTCCTCGCCGCTCACTCACCCACGAAGCCACCGCTCCAGACCTCCTCACGATTTGCCACCCTGGGGTGCTCAAGCTCTACCTATGCCTGGTACACTACTCCGGCGACCCGCCTCGGATTCGAAGGTGAAGTGCGGGCACCAGGGGGAGAAGGCACTGGCTCAAGCCTTCCGCGCCAGTTACCCACGCACGAGGCCACCGCTCTGGGCATCCTTGCGCTTTGCCCCCAGGGGGTGCTCCAGTGCTAGGCCGGAAAGGATATGCCGATGACCCGCTCGAATTGTTGACACGACCTGTGGGCCCCATGGGGAGGGGGCTCCCGCTTGAGCCTTCTCCTCTATCTTCTCTCACAAGAAAGGCCCTCGCCTGAGACACCCTCACGATTTGCCCCCTTTGGGGGTGCTCACGTGCTTCGCCTGGTAAAAGATTCCGATGACCCGCCTCGGGTTCGAAACATGACCTGAGGGCCCCATAGGGAAGGGGCCTCCGCTTGAGAAATCCTCGCAATTCGATCACTGACGAAGAACCCGCGTTAGACATCCTTAGGACTTGCCCCCTTGGGGTGCTCAAGTGCTATGCCTGGTGAAGTATGCCGATGACCCGCTCGGACTAATAACATGACCTGCTGACCTCATCGGGAGGGGGCTCCCGCTTTAGATTTTGCAATGTTCACTCACAAACGAAACATGCGCTCGAGTGCTCATCAAGTGATTACGTGAATGCGTGTGTGGGACAAACGGCGACTGTGAGAGCATGGCGTGGTGATGATTGATGATGTTGGTGCGGTGATGCTAGCGGAGATGGTGATGGCAATTTTAAGAACATGGTGGTGACGATGTGCATGAGAACGCGGTGTCTGTGTGCGCGATGGTGAAGGTGATGGCGATGATGATGGTGGTGACGACAGTGATGGTGATGCTGATGCTGATGCGCTTTAAGATGATGAATGTGTGTGGATAGGGGTGGGATTAGATAAGCATGATGAATCTGATGATAACGATGGTGATGATGATACTGATGCTGACGATGGCGATGACGACGATGATTACGACTATGAAATGATGATGCTGATGATGATGCTGGAAGCGATGATGATGATGACGATACTGATGATGATACTGATGATGATTATTATTATGATGATGATGGTGGTGATGATAATGAGGAGGATGATGATGAGGATGACGAAAGTGATGGAGAGGAAAAGCAAAGGGAGGAGAGGAGATTATGCGCGGGGGGTGCAGTTAATACAAGAACTCCACGCTGGATGTGGGGCACATCACCACCGGGGCCCCTCTCTCTGCGCCATTCTTCGAGCCGCATCGATCTGACTGTGCGGGTCCCGGAGCCCGAAAGAGGGGCGACAACGCCCAGCGCGAGCAAACCTGCAACGCCTGGATCTCAGGTCCCCCCCATGGCCTCCCATCCCTTAACGGGCGAAGAACGGTATAAAATAAACTTTTTCGCCGTCGGGGACACCTGCCCCTGGGCGGCTGGAAAGTTTAGACCCTTACGGTGGCACCGTAGGGGTCTAAACTTTCCAGCCGCCCAGGGGCAGGTGTCCCCGACGGCGAAAAAGTTTATTTTATACCGTTCCTCGCCCGTTAAATCCCTGCCTGCCCCTCTCGCCGCGCCCCCGCGCCTCGGCGCCAGCCGCGGCGCCGCGGCGGCGGCCGCGCCCAGGGCCTGCGGCCGGCCGAGGCGCGCGGCCCGAGGGAGGCGCCGGCTGGGGGGCTCCTCCGCTGGAGGCGCCTCCTCCGCTGGCCTTCGGAAGCCCCCGAGGGTCACCTAGAGCTTCCGGGCGTCGGGAGCGGCCAAGAGGGGGGTGTCCAAGAGGGGGGGGTGCAAATCATGACCGGCGGCATGTGCGCGGCCGTGCGGGGGGGCCAGGGACGTAATGTAATAAGAAGAGACGCCACGAGATCTGGGGAAATACCATGGCCCCCGCCACGACATCCACGCCCCCCTAGTCATCACCCCCCTCTTTTCCGCCCCCGATGGCGGAGGGCAGGACCGTCCTGCCGGTGCCTCGTGCCTGAGGGCGCAAGAGTCGTACCGACGACGCCCCCCCCCCCCCCCATGTCGGCCCTGGGAGGGCTGATCAAACTACAGTCGGGGCGTTGACCTAAGGAACCCTAAATAAGGAACGAGGCCTCTTTTTTCGTAAATTAACCTTCGATTTCCTGTCGAAAACATAGAGGAAAGCCTGAGGCAAGCTGCGAAACACTCAAGGAACGCGGAGCCCCTCCCCAACGAAAAGGGTTCCTTCTTCAGGGCCCCGACTGGAAAGCCCAGCGACTCCTGGAACACCGCTCCAGGAGTCGCCCGCGGGCGGATTACGCGGCAGTTCCTGCTCCTCCGCCTCCTTCGCCTCCTCCTGCTCTTCCCCTTCTTGTCCCGCCACGCTCCTGCTCCTCCGCCTCCTCCTGCTCGTCCTGCTCTTCCTCTTCTTGCCCCGCCATTTCTTTAGGGCGCAGGTGGTTTAGGGCGCTTCCTCTTCCAACCCCCTCCGACGAGGACAGGCAAAGGCCCCCCCGCAGCGAACCGCTTTTCGGCGAGAACCTCCTTTTGGAAGGGAGGGGGAGCCCAAAGCAGGCTCGCGGCCAAAGCGGGGGGAGGTGCCGCTTCGAGCCCGGGAACAACGCCTCCCCAGGGGAGGGCGGCCACGGGCGGCAACGATGCGAAACCTCGCCGGCGGCCACGAGGCGGCCACGGGCAGCCCAGGGCACGAGGCGGCCACGGCAGCGCAGAAAAGTTCGACAGCTGGACCAAGCCAAGTCGCAGCATCAGTGAGAAGCTCTCAGCGCAAACACTGTCTGGGGAATCCGGATGGGAGATCTCTCTCCAAGGGAGTTCGGGGTTCACCATCGGCGGTGCGACGACAACTGGCCTCGTGCATTGTCGATGCGTGTCGGGAACTCCGTGAGCAGCCCACGAGGCGTCGCCAGGACGCAGAGTGGCTGGCGGCCAAAGTCATGCGAGCAGGTTTCGACCTGTTTCCAAAGTTTCAGGCGATTTTGCGGGCAATATCTATATCCGTATCCAGGCCGTCTTGGACTTTCGTGGAAGGAGCGCCGCAGGGCCGAGGCGCACTGGATATGGATAACATGAGAGCCTCTAAAGGGGCCTGATGTTTATCCATCTCCCGTGCCGCCCGGTTCTCTGGGGAAGGGAGCCCGAAACCCCAAGCTGCAGTGGATAGGGACACGAGCTCCGCCCGCAGACTTCGCCTGGCGTCGACCCCTCGGGCGGAGCTCGCCCCGCCGGGGCAAGCCGGACCCTCGGAGCGGCGAAGCGCGAGCGCACGAGTCGCCGAGAGGCGCCGCTCCGCGTGCGCAGAGCCAACCTGGGCGCCGACGCTCTCGCCGACGGTTGCGCTCCGCTCCGCTTTTGGGTTCCGACGTTTGGCGCCTCCGACGGACTTGCAGCGTTGCACGCTGGCAGTTCCCCTCAGTCTCAGTCCCCTCAGCCACCCACCTGAGGCCTCGGCCGCGCTTCGCCGTCGCCTCGCGCGTGGCTCTGCTTGTTTCGCCCGCGCTTCCTTTGCCTCATTCGTCTCTGCGTAGCCCGCTTTGACCTGACTCGCCGCCGGCGCGCTCGCCCGCGGCCGCTGACTAAAAAGTGCGCAGATGACGAACCAACAACACACACCCACACCCATAGGGGGGTCGGAGAGGGCTATGGGTGCGTGTTGTCGGATGGGGGTCCCCGCTCGAACGGGAGCGTTCCCCAGGGTCCGACAACCCGCACCCATACCCATAGCCAGTCCTCCTCCCAACGGCCTCCCTATGGGTATGGGTGTGTGCTGTTCGTTCGTCAGCAGAGCCAGGAGGGCGTGCCAGAGCACGAAGGGGGGCCCCGAGAAGCAGGGCGTGCCCACTGCCCGCGGGCGTCCCTGGACCGCCAAAAGCAGCCGGGGCGCGCGGGCACGAACATTGGCGATCCATATGGAGACCCGGCGCGCGGCCGCGGCCCGGCGCCGCCTCGGTCGGCGGCGGAGGTCCCCGATGTCCCTTGGGAGCGGGACCCATCGCTCATCTCGGGTCGGGCGAAAGGGGGGGATAGCAAAGGGGGGGGTTTGAGAATCAGCTCACGTCGCTGCTTTTCCCGGCGCCTCCCGGCGCCGGAGGCGGCGATGTATCGAGGAATGGGCCTCTCGGTGAGGCCGAAACCAGCTGCATGCAGCGAATTTCGTACCCCCCCCCCCCTTTCCCAATCCCCCCCTTTCGTCCGGCCCGATAATCCACGCCCCCTTGATCCATGCTTGCGATCGCCTGCAGGTGTACGGCACACTTGGAGATCGGGTGGCACAGGCATGGGGGACACCTGGCGCCCTCTCTCTCTGGCAGCCTCTGCACGGGGCAGGCGTTCGACAGCGTGCTTGGCGATGAGAGCGAGGGGCCTGGCCACCAGAAGCTGCCGACGGTCTGATTGGTTGAGTGGCCATGCGCGTGGAGGGAGCAACCTAACCTACGTGCTGGAGTTAAGCAAGCCTGGCGCAGTGCGGTGGATCACCTAATGTCGGTCCACGTTGGCCAAAGGACGCGTCATGTACGAAGGCTTTTCTGATAGGGTGGTCGTGTTGCACTTGCTTGAGGCTCGATGTGGAGTGGGGGAGGCCATGGCTTGGCCGATACCAGCTCCACACACGCAGCAGTCGGTGATAATTGGCGATTCGATGACCATCTGTCTACAGGAGTGCAGGCATGGGATTCGCATCAGGCCTTCCTGACCGACTTGCGGGACACGCGGAGACACAGGCTCTGGGCTGGTGCCGGTCAGCATTCCTGGGGAGCAGGGTTGGAGCGGGGAGAGGACTGCACATCCTGGCCACTTCCACTGCAACAGCTGGTAGCGGTCCCAGTCGTTGGACGCCGCCTTTTTGTTGAGGCCATGTTGGCTTGCACTGTGGGGGGGCACCTGGCCAATGGTACGGCGCTGCGGAGATTGCCAAGCTCAACGAGACCGACCTCTGCCCACGCTGCGGCACAGTACCATAGGCTCCACAGCATCGTGCGGCTTCGGCTTTGCGAGTGCAAGTCCAATCTGCGTAACCATCGGTCGGAAGAAGTAAGTAGAAACATGAAGTAGGAAGGCGTTGAAAGTAAATTGGGTTCCGCCCGCCCCCTAAGGAGGAGGAAAACGTGAAGCCAATCGATCATTGAAGTAGGAAGGCGCTCAAAGCAGACTGGAACCTGGGAGCCCAGAAATACCTACTTTCAATGACTGATGGGCACGAAGACTCTGGAAAGGTAGTCCCCCAAGCTCTTGCACATATAAACATGGACCAGGTCTTCTGGCATCGAGGTCTGCCGCCGTCGCAGTGGACAGCGGCGTCACAACCAGAGGCAGCAGAACAGTGGATCTCCACGAGGGTCAGCGAGGCCTCTGATTGTGTTGTTCGCATCGCACTTACGGGCCACATCCCCAAAATAATTTCGAGCACCCAGAAACATATCGGAACCGTGTCGAACAAGTATCGCCTCCCAAGGCACGACACGTGAAAACCCTCAAGTTTCGGTACTCTCCTGGTGCTCGACATTCTTTCTGGTGACCAAGGCTAAGAAGGTTGGAACGTCATAAGCCTCTGAGGGAAGCTTGTGATGCGGGGCAGACTCGTGCCCGCTGGTTACTTTTGGAGGTGCGAGCGGAGGAGTCGCCAGCAGTACAGCAATGTGCTCAGGCGCCGCTGGTCTTGCTCTTGTCATCCCTGCCTCGCTTGAGCATCGCTTCAAACTCTCTGCGACCCTGCGTGGACCTCTCTGAAGGGGCCATGGGACACACACAAACAAATAGACACAAATGACATGATTCCCCATATTTTCCCATATTTTCTCGGTTTTTGTCTTCCCCACCACTTCCCATGGTTTCCAATATTCCCTGGGGGATCGACGATTGTGTCTGTGTGTTTTTGTTCCCTCCTGACTCTCACCGGGCCACGGCAGGCCGTCCCCGACAAGGGAACTGCTGGCGACGATTCTGGCCATTTGGCTGACCCGCGGGGCCCGATGTCGACACATGTGGCCGCGCCGCTGGTTCGGCGGTGGACAATCCTCAATGTATTGAACCTCCCCTTCGTGAAAACGGCCTGGGACCTAAACCGACGGACCTGGACCCGCAAAAATGACGGCCGCGACGCCCTCTCGCGAACCGAAAACGGCCAATTCCTTAATCGACGTGTCAGGGTAGGAGGTCTGCCCACCCCCGACTTGTTCTCGACCCTCCCACATAGACGACGTCGACACCACGGCAAACCAACGGCAAACCCTGCGCCCCGCGCCGCCAAGTAGACGAAGCCGGCACCGCGGCAAGCCCCACGGCAAGCCCGCCGCGTCTGGGGCGGCATGTTTGCCCCGGTGCCTGCGGCGCGGCGCCCTCCCCGGGACGCAAGGCCGAGCGTCGGAGCAAACGGCACGGCGACAGATATGTTTCAGATTGCGAGCCAGTAGTGGAAGGGTAAGTCAGTCGGAAGCACGGCCACCCCAGTGGCCACGAAGGTGATTGGTGGGCCGTGTGGGGCCAACTCTCCTCCGGCAGCGCGGTCCGGCAGCGTCCCCATCCGTTTTTGCTGCCACCTCGCACAGCACTGTGGAGGATGTGGTGCGAGGAGTAGCTCCAAGCAGGATGACCGGACGGCTGCGTCCGACAGGACATCGAGCCGAAAAAAAAAAAAAAAAAAAGCAGGATGACCACGGGGAACACCGCGGTTGACGGTGTTGCGGGCCACGCTGCGCGCGAGGCACGCTTGTCCGAGGCCGTACGCCACTCTGTTCTCCTGCACGGGCGCGCGGCTCGGGGAGTGCGCATGCGCACCCTGCGCGCCGCCCTCGACGCATGCGAAGCTGAGAGGGAGAACAGTTTGCCGAAGCAGAAAAGTCCGTCCCGCCCCCTCCCGCTCCCCCTCTGAACCGCCGCCTTGACCAGACGGGACGAAAAAGGACACCCGATGACGGGGGGCTCGGCCACCGAGGCCCCAGCCAAAGCCTGGCGGCAGACGCCGTGCTTCGCACACACACACACAGACACACACACACACACACACACACACACACACACACGCACACACGCACCCACGCACACACACACACACAGACACACACACACACACACACACACGCACACACGCACACACGCACACACGCACACACGCACACACGCACACACGCACACACGCACACACGCACACACGCACACACGCACACACGCACACACGCACACACACACGCACACACACACGCACACACACACACACACACGCACACACACAAACACCCACACACACACGCACACACAGTGGTAACGACGTGATCTTTCGCAGGCCCTCTGAGGCCCAGCTCCGTGCAGCAGGGGGATGGGCTCGCCAGCCACGTCGGCGCCCGACCCCGCACAGGCCCGAATGGGGCTCGGGCCAAAGGTTCGAAGCAAGACGGAAGAAGCTACCCGACACACACACACACAAACACCAGAAGACACGCAAACGCACACGCACACGCACGCACACGCACACACACACACACACATACACACACACACACCACACACACACACCACACACACACACACACACCACACACAGGCGTCTCGGGACCTCTGAGAGCGCTGCAGTGCATCTCTCTCTCGCACACAGGCGTCTCGGGACCTTTGAGAGCTCTCTCTCTCTCTATCTCGTCGGCACTGCACTCGCCTTGACGCCGTCCTGCCCCCAACTCCAAAATCCCAGCTCTCCTCGTCCTCCCGCTGCTCCCGGCACTCTCCCTCTCCCTCTGGGCCCTTCGCGGCTCCTCTCCTGGGGGCCCTCGCCTTCTCTCAGGTCGGGCGTGTCCTCCTGCAGGAGGATTCTGGACGACAGCTACAGAATAGCCAAGCAATGTTCAAGACATGCTAAAACGACATTCCAAAACTCGTCCCCTGGCTATTTATTCACTACATCTGAACACTTCCGTCGAGATTTTCCGAGCCAACTAGCCTTCCAGCGTTTTAGAATTACTCTTAAGCTTCGCCGATTCGCTCTTAGGGAAGGTCACTTCACACTCCTCCTGGAGAGGGACGCGCGCGACCTGGGCCTTCTCGGAGCGGGCCGCCCTCCCCCCTCCCTCGCGCCCCCCTTGCCGCTCCGCGCGGCCGGCCGTCGCGGCTCCCCGGGGCGGGCGCGCTCACTCGAGCAGGAGCTGGCGACGGGACTCGCTCAGGATCTTCACCCCGCGCACGCGCTCCACCTGTTGAGCGTTCTTGTATTCCCTTTCCCAGCTGTGTTCTAGAGCTCGGACCGCTGTATTGTTGTTCGTCGTAGTCGCTCGCTCGCTCGTTCGTCCTCCCCCTCTGGCCACAGAAGGAAACTCCTGGAGGAAGGAGGCGAAAGCCTCCGATCCCTCGCAGCTCCTTGGTGCGAGAGCCAGGGCACGCGTGCCACTTGTTCGGCGTTCCGACTCTGGGCGGAAATTGGGGGGGGGGGCTCAGGACCTCTGCGTTGTGCAGCTTTTTGCAAGGGTGCGTTCTAGGGGGGAGATGCTGCACCTGCTCGAAACAGGCGCCAAAAACAGCCAAGATCTACTCCATAGGGGGGGGGGAAGAGGGGGGGTGCGAGGGCCCGCGCCGATCGGCAAAACAATGAATAAAAAACGATCACCTGCAGGGGAACAAGCAGTGACATAAACATAAAAGCTCGAAGGTCCGCGCGGATCATTGATTGTTTGCCCTGGCCCTGGCCTATGTCGGGCATGTCCCCCTAGAGGCGGATTTTGGAGGGGGGGAAATTAGTAAACAACTACACCCAAATGATCAAACATAGTGGGAAAATACGTCCCAAGACTATTTTTTATCCATGTTTGGATATTCGTCCTGCAGAGGGACACGCCCGACTTAAACCCTGGCCTCGTCCAGCTCGGCGAGGAGCCGCCGCTTCGCCGCGCTGTAGAGCACCAGGTCCTCGGCCACCAGGCTGTCCACCGCGCGCAAGAAATCTTCGGGCTCCTCGTGGATGGTCCTTTGAGCAGGGCCCGACCGTCCCGCCACTCCTAGTCGCCTACCGCGAAACAGACTCTAGAACCCCCAAACCAATCAGAAAACAAAGACAGTGTTCTTAGAACATCAAGCCGATGTGTTAAAACGAGACAGCCCCAGCCAGAAATGTTCTAAGAACATGTCGTGCAACCCACAAAAGGTTCTTAGAAAACTCTTCGGTGGGCCTATAGGCAAGCCAGGACGCCTCGCCACTGCTTGAGGTCCTGTGCGAGTGGTTCACGCCGTGGGTGTCGTGGCTCAGCTTCCCCGTGAACTTGTGCCAAGCCGCCTCGTCGCTCGCGTTGCAGCCGGCCGGCAGGGGGGTCGTGAAGTTCAGGATCCTGGCCAGGAAGAGGCACACCGACTCCTGGTACAGCTCCAGGACACCCACGAACCACGCGGCCCACATGTTATGAAGGGCGAGCGACAAATTCACCCTGTCAGGAAATTCGAACGACTTGCGACAGGTGAACCGGTGGCTTTGCATGTTGATCGGGTTGTAGCACTTGTAGGGCGTGTTCGTCCCGAAGTGGCTGACGTGCGCGAATCCATGGTTACCTGGCGCGAAGTCGCCGTAGTGTGAGCAGTTGGCTCTGATGAGCGTCCAGTTCCCGACCCACTCCTCGAAAGAGGGCAGCCTGCTGATAATGTCTTTAAGATGCGGTTTTTGTGCCATCTTCGATGACTTACAATGCCAGTACTGGGACATCACGTGTTCCCGCGGGTTCCGCGCGAGCGTGACGACGCTGCCGGGGGTGCAGTTCGAGAAGTTCCTGTGCCAGCTGTAGCACCCCTCTGGCCTGACCAGCTCTTTGCCGAGGGGGTGCACCGCCTTCAGCCAGATGTCCTTTCGGGGATGGACAGAACCCCCTTTAGCAAAACGTGGTTTAGTGAAAACGACCACGGGCCCAAATCTGGCGGGCGAAAGCCTGGAAAATAACGGCCACGGCGCCCTCTCGAGAACCGAAAACGGACAATTCACTAATCGACGTGTCACTATTGGGGGTTCTGTCCAGCCCCGATCCTTCGAGAACGACTCCCCCCCTGTCTTCGGGGTCTTCAGGTAGAAAAGAAAAGGGCCTGGATCCGCAAACAGGTCGCGGGGGACCGCCGGCGGCGCGCCGCCGCTCTCCCCTCGGGGCGAGGCGGCACGTGCAGCGCCCGCCTCGCAGGCGGCGGGCGCAGCAGCGGCTGCGCCCTCCCCCCCTCTGCCCTGGCCGCCAGCTTCGGCGACCGCTTGAGCAGGGACCGACCGTCCCAGCATCCCATAGGCCTACCACGACATGCTCTCAGAACCCAAACGTGCGCTGAGAACAAAGGCCATGTTCTTGGAACATAACCAGGTGTGTCGAAACAAGCCAGTCCCGACCAGAAAAGTTCTGAGCATGTTTCGCGCAGACCACAAAGGGTTCTTACACTATCTATTCTCTCAGGTGGGCCTACAGGCGAGCCAGGACGCTTCGCCACTGCTCGACCTTGTGCCCTGGCCGCCAGCTTCGGCTGCCGCAACCTCCGCTCCGCCGCTGTCGACTCCCTCTGGGGCCAGGCCGGACGGAGGGTCCGGGCCGGCGGCGGCCAGACTGGGCGGCGGGCGGGGAGATGCAGCCGCCGCGGCCGCAGTTGCCTCCAGGCTCTCGTTTCGCAGGAGCTGGCGCCGGGACGCGCTGAGGATCTTGATCCCGCGCACGCGCTCCACCTCGTCCAGCTCGGCGAGGAGGCGGCGCTTTGCCGCACTGTAGAGCACCAGGTCGTCGTCCACCAGACGGTCCAGCTCTTGCAGAAAGTCCCGCGGCTCCTCGTGGACACCCTTGTGCGCATGGCTCACCCCGTGGGTATCGTGCTCCATTTTGAATGCGTTCCAGGCGGCCTCGTCGCTCGAGTTGCAGCCGGCGGGCAGGGGAACCCCCATCCTGGCCACGAACAAGCAGAGCGACTCATGGTAGAACTCCAGGACGCCGACGAACCACGCAGCCCACATGTTCTGAAGAGCGAGCGACAGATTCACCCTGTCGGGGAACTCGAACGGCTTGCGACAAGTGAAGCGGTGGCTCTGCATGCTAACCGGGTTGTAGCACCTGTAGGGCGTGTACGTCGAGAAGTGGCTGACGTGCCCGAAACCATGGGCGTTTGGTGCAAAGTCGCCGAAGTGAGAGCAGTTGGCTCTGATGAGCGTCCAGTTCCTGACCCACTGCTCGAAAGAGGGCAAACTGTTGGCTATGCCTTTATGTGCTTGCGCCATCTTGGAAGACCTACAATGCCAGTACTGCGACATGACGTGCTCCCGCGGGTTCCGCGCGAGCGTGACGACGCTGCCCGGGTGGCACTTCGACCAATTCCGGTGCCACTGATAGCAGCCCTCCAGCTTGACGAGAGCTCTATCCTTCCCTCTGTACGCACTCTTCTTCTAGGGGAACAAACTATGACATGAATGTAAAAACTATGAGGTCCGCGCGGATTTCTCGGATCGGCGCTGGATCCCTCTCCCTGGCGCGCGGAGCGTGCCAGGGATCCGAGGAACCTGCGCGGACCTCCAAGTTGTTCTGTTCATGTCAGTGTCTGTTCCCCTACCTTCAGCGCGCGCATCCAAATGTCCCTCGAGAACGACTCCCCGGCCGTCTTCGGGGTCTTCATGTAGTGCAGGACCGGGCCTGCACTTGGCTGCCCCGATACGCAACATGCAACACGTAGCGCGTTGACACGGAACTCAACACGCACTGTGAAAACGAACGTCTGGCGCGACACGGTCGCCGAAACGTGGGCCCACACGTGGAGCCAACACGGCGCGCACTGACACGGACACCTGGAACACCGGTACGCCTTGCGCTCCACAACGGGCCTGGATCCGCAAACAGGTCGCGGGCGACCGCCGCCTCCGCGCCGCCGCTCCACCCCCCGGCCGCGGCCGCCCGAGCAGCGCCCCCCTCGCAGGCGGCCGGCACCTGCGGGGCCGCCCCCTGGCCGCGGCCGGGCAGGGCTGCGACAGCCGCGGCGGTCTCCGCTCCGCCGCCGCCGCCGCCCGGGCCTGGCGGCGAGCCGGCCGCCGCAGCGCCAGCGGCCTGCTCTCCGCCGCCGCCCCCGCCCGGGGCCGAGCTGGACGGTGGGCCGGCGGCCGCCGCCGCGGCGGCCTGCGCTCCCCCGCCGCCCTGGCCCGAGGCCGGGCTGGGCGGCGGGCCGGCGGCCGCGGCCGCCGCGGCTGCCGGGGCCTCCGCTCCGCTGCCGGGGGCGCCAGCGCCATTGCGCAGCGAGATCCCGACCAGGGCGGCCTGGCCCGAGCCTCGCCACAGCAAGGCCCCGCCCAGGGCGCAGCCCGCGAGGCTGAGGCAGAGTAGCCCCGCGTCGCGCGCGCCGCGGCCAGGGAACATTGCCAGCGCCCTGCGGGGCGGCTCGAGGCAGACTGCGGACAGAAATCGCCACCCAGGTAGAACGGCAAGAGATCGGCGCTCCCCGTGCCGGATATCTCGGCGACGCCTCTCAACTGAGACCGCAATCATCACACTGGCGACTTGGGGTGGCAGCAGTGACATGCTTTCTAGTTGGAGGTGTGCACTTTGATAGGACAGCCAAACACATACACTGTTGGAAGTCCGCGCGGATTCTTCGGGTCGGTTGATGGACCCTGCCCCCTGGCGCGCGGAGATCGCAGCGGAAGGTAGGAGGCGGCGCCAGGGCGGTCCCGTGACGATCCAAGAACTCCGCGCGGGGCCATCAGAGCTCATGCTGATGGCTATGTTTGTTTGTTGTTATTATGTCACGTTGTTTGTGGTTTGTGGTGCTTATGTGTATGTTGTTAATGACTGTGGCGTTTGCTGTTCGTCGACTCTCAAAGACTAGCCCAGGGAGATAAAAAGAGCCACTCTCGGCCTCGGCGGCGGTCGGGGGAGCGATAGAGCGGAGAAAACCAGGGCCTCTGGCACGCCTGAGAACCAAAATCCGCGGACCCTGTCGGTCTGTGTGCGAGGCTTTTCCTTTTGAGTCGTCGTCGTCGTCGTCGTCATCGTCGTCATCGTCGCCGCTCCACCCCAAACGTTCTGGCCAGAGGGAAATCAAGCAACGTCGCAATCGAGACGTGGGGAAGCCCCTTCCTTTTCACCCTTCCCCCGCCAGAAGGGGGGGGGGGTCTTGGGGGTTTGTGGGGGGGGGTCCGGGGGGATCTTGGGGGTTTGTGGGGGGCGTCCCGGGGGGTGGGGGAGGGGGGTCCCGGGAGATGTGCCCCCCCCCCCCCCCTTCCCCCCCGTCTTGGGGGGAGCACCCCTTCCTGGGAGGGAGCTGTCGCCTCGAGGGCTGCAGCATCCTCCTCGGTTTCGCCGTCGCCGTCGTCGCCCCTTTCCGGGTCGGCGGCGCTGGCTGTAAGGCCTGCGCCGTCTGGCCGACGGCGACGCGCCCCCCCAAAACGCGAACACGTGCACCCCAAAGATTTGGACGCCCGAAATGGGTACCGAAAAAATGGGTACAATGCCCAACAGCAAGTGTTGTCCCAAACCAACAGCGGCCACTGTTGGGCGGGCGGCCTTCTGTCTCAAATGAACACAGGCCGCGGCGGCGCAGACAGCGAGTCCTGTTCAAAATGAACAGGAACTGCTGGGGTCGGCAGAATTTCCGGCCCAACACATGTGAATCTCGATGGGCGGGCTGGTAGGTACGCCCTCTTGCCCAAGGTGAGCAAAACCGGGCAACGAAACTCGTCCAGTCAGAAGGACCCCCTCTGGAGGTACCCGGTCCCGGGAGGTCCCAGATCTCGA